CCTTTAATGTCGGTAAAAAAAAATTACACACTTGATATAATTTTCTTCACGATACCATATCCATTTTATTACAGTAAACAAAAAAAAACAAGAATTTCGTCAGATAATATAAATTTCGAAAAAAGTTTTACTTTGCAAATAAATATTATTCTGAAGTCAAACATAACCACTCCATTTGTCTCAAATATATCGTGAATAACCTAAAAGTTTTCAAGGTTTCTTCTTCTACCAGTATGCTATGTTTTAACGGGAATTTATTATGAATTGTTTTTTTTTAAACTTTTCATAAACTGTGATCATGATATTCTTTTGGATGTAAAATCAAATTGTTTACTCCAGCTTTTTATATAAATTATATAGAGGATATTTGTTTGTTTCAGTGTAAGATCGAACACTAGATGCAATATTTTCCACGAGTGGCGTAGCCACGAGTGAAAATATAATATTAGCTGGGGTTCACGAGTGAAATATTATTTGATCTTACATGTAAAACAAACAAATTTTCTGTTTATTTCATGATTTTTTAACGATTTTTACACCATTTTACTGATTTTTGCCGCGTAACGCCTTGCTCTTATCTTCATGACGTCATCAAAAAATGACGTCACAATGTTGAAGCAAAATATAATTCCATGATTATTTTTAGATTTTAGATGTTTTTCAGCACAACGTTCATAAATATTTACGAACTACAGTTATCACGAACATTTTTTATTATGATTGACTACATTTCCGCTGAAAAAAAACATTCATTAATGATAAATATTTTATTTTTACGCCAAATATAGTTCAGCTACTGTGAAATTATATTTGGTAATCATTACTGCGAAATTATCAGAATATAATTAACCGTTATAATTCAGTAATCTACTGCAAAACATGTAATAAATAGAGGATATTTGTTTGTTTCAGTGTAAGATCGAAAAATATTTCACCGAGTGAACACTAGATGCAATATTTTCCACGAGTGGCGTAGCCACGAGTGAAAATATAATAGCTGGGGTTCACGAGTGAAATATTATTTGATCTTACATGTAAAACAAACAAATTTTCTGTTTATTTCATGATTTTTTAACGATTTTTACACCATTTTACTGATTTTTTGCCGCGTAACGCCATGCTCTTATCTTCATGACGTCATCAAATAATGACGTCACAATGTTGAAGCAAAATATAATTCCATGATTATTTTTAGATTTTAGATGTTTTTCAGCACAACGTTCGTAAATATTTACGAACTACAGTTATCACGTACATTTTTTATTATGATTGACTACATTTCCGCTGAAAAAAAACATTCATTAATGATAAATATTTTATTTTTACGCCAAATATAGTTCGGCTACTGTGAAATTATATAGAGAATAACATGCTACTGTCTTTTGATATCAATTTTATCAGGCGAGGCTGACATGGGTTAGAAAGGGCGAGGCTTGCCGAGCCCTTTCTGCCCATATCAGCCGAGCCTGATAAAATTGATATCAAAAGACAGTAGCATGTTATTCTATTTATCATGTAACACATAACAACTGTCAAAATAAAAGAATAATCTACTTTTAAATAGCGAATTTCGTTAAAAAGGGGGATTTTTGTTCAAAGAAATAATTCTTGAAAAAAAATTCCTCCGCCCCTGAAACTTAGAATTTCTTATTGGCGGCCATTTTTTCTTTCGACTCGGATAAAAGATACAACAGAATGTAGGCCTAATACGATAAAATTCTTACCTTTAATTTAAACATCGATGCAAAAATCCACTTAGAATCACATAAACTAAACTTTACTGCAATTTTTGTCTTGAATTGTCAAATTCAAAAGTTCACGATAATTTCAATCAAAGAAAAGTCAAATCGGCAATCAAACACAAGCTGCACAAACATGCGTCTTATTTTTTAAACGAAACAATTTGTTCACTTATTGAATAATAATCCGGCGAAATAAAGTAAACATTTACAAGTTATCAATAAAAATCGTCTAGCCTGTTTGTTATGATTACATGTATAGTATGACGTGAACATCGATGATGTCATTTGCAATATAAATTATGACGTCACTTCATTTAGTTGGTGCTAAAACTATTCGCTATCTAATTTATTCGTAATTGAAATCGAAATAATAGGCCTAAATATCGCACCTTGATTCAAGACTTGTAAGGGTATGAGATTACATTGTAGAATTCACATGCTGGTAAAAATAAGAATATAAGCAATTGAAAAAAGTCCGTTAAAATGGGCGGGGCTTATTTTTGATATCATGTTACTGACCTGATATCAAAAATAATTATCAGGCAAGTGTTATCGGGCAGTTACCATAGTAGTTGCATGATAAATTTGGTAATCATTACTGTGAAATTATCAGAATATAATTAACCGTTATAATTCAGTAATCTACTGCAAAACATGTAATAAATATTATTCTTTTTAATATTGTTAATATTTATATGGATTTAGATAATGAAAGAGCAAATAATTTTTAAATGTTTTTTTTTTTTTTTTAATTTGGTCAGGCCCACATGTTCGTATTAGAATGATTGTACACGTAATATTCATTTACCATTTTCAGCGACAATCTTATTTGACTTATTTAAATCAACCATCTCAGTTGCAGTTATTATGTCTTTCTCATAATTTGATTGCGTGTAAGGCACCATTATTTGCAAACAAAACAATGAACAAAACAAAAAGAATTTCGTCTGATCATGTTCATTTGCTTGCCTTATAGCGTCACGTTCACGGAAAATAAATACAGCTTACAGGGATATTAAATTTATTGAATGTATTTGTTTCAACAGTTAACATTTTATGAATTTGCAACTACATTTTCGTATACTGATGGGATAAACTACCGACGTCCCATAGGCTGCTGGGCATCTTCCAATTTCCCTAGCTGGAAGAATTAGAACCTATATACATAAGAGGCAACTTTTAATACATGAGGTTAACATAAGGTTTAATTTGCTTGAGGTCTGATCCGAAGTCATGACTATAAGTTCTTATGTTATAGATTTATTGTATTTTTAGTACAATTTAGTAGCTACTGTTTAGTAATGATTGCATATTGGTGTCTTTATAAAATTATGTTGTTTTGATAAATATTTGCATTACATATCTTACCAGTTTTCTAGTCTTGAAGTGATTTCGAGGAACATACATATTTATTAAGTTGTATTTTAGTTCCCATTTCAGTTCTTATCATTTCACTTATTACGTGTCCCTCCCCTGGAATCGCAACCCTTTCCCGGTTTTGGCTCGGTACCTTCTGGGTTCCCTGCTACTGTGGCTAGAGTGTGTCGGGGCCTGTGTCCTGTGAACGTTGCCTTTGCCTTGTTGGTCTGTGTTCTCGTTTTTTCTTCCTTATGACATTCCACAAATCTCATATTTCCCGTTGACTTATTTCTATAGCTTACCCAACATATCTGTTTTATAACACTGAGATATCGTCAGCTGACAATATTTGTTGGCAGTGTGCGAAGCGTTAGAATATCATTGTTAAATATACGAATATCACTAGAGTCGGAAAGACAGCAAACAAAAATATGACAGCCGTGAAAGTTGTTTTTTTATCTTTCTGTCATAATTGCATGTTTGACAGTTGTTAATGGAAGTGCAATAAACAACATCGCTCCTTCTGAAGTTAATGCAGATTATTTGATCGAATTGGGGATAAAAACAAATGATGTTAAACTGCAAGCTGTTGGAATGGCAATGAATAATATTCATAGTGACCCATGTAGCGAATGGACAAAGTGGTCAGTTTGTTCAGCAAATATCTTTCGTCATTTCGGTATAAAACAGCGGTCAAGGAAATGTAGCAATGAAACAGAATATAACTTGTGCAGAAATCGATGCCCGCTCTCTTATCTTACAACAAAGCACGGATATTGTCTGAGCAAACATGTCAAGAAGACGTCACGTTTTGATGCTGAGAAGAAATGCAAGAGTGAAGGTGGATATTTGGTTCATATTGACTCACAATTGAAATACGAAGACATTATCAACACTGCTTTGAAAATGTTTGGCTCCAATGCTTTCATCGGTGGTTATCGAAAGAGCACACATTCTCCATGGCTTTTTGAGGACGGATCTAAGATGAGATTTTTCAAATGGGCAACTTCGGAACCTGATAATGGAAGTGATGAGTTATGCATATACCTGGACAGAAGCAATGGGTACATGCACGACACGTCTTGTTCAGTATCCAATTATTTCATTTGTGAAATCCCGGTTTAATGTCGGGTAGAAATAAAAAATTAGAATGCAGTATTGTGTATAACTAACATGAAATATCGTTTCGATCGATGACCTAGAGACAGAAAAAAGCTAGTGTTTAGTGTATGATGAAAATAACAAGTGTGAATGTAAACTTTGTTTTACTAAAAGTTTATTTTGTCTATAAACACAAATATTTAGTTTATTTTGTCTATAAACACAAATATTTATACATTTCATCTGATTAAGATATGGAGATATATTGGACTGTCGTTGAAGAATTTTTGTTTTCATCTTAAATAAAAGTCATAACAAAACTTGTGTCTACAACGAGACACATGATGGTAAATAAATTTACAGGAGTAATAACCAACAAAGTAAATAGAGTTCATAAGTTTTATTTTCAAACATGATATGAAATTTCTGTAATTTATGTCGAAAATGTTACCATCTAGTGATTAGCAGGACAGTAATTGTTTGTAATTACATACAATTCTTAAAACATGATAACTACTAAAATACCAAACTATCAGTAACTGTTGTTCTAATTCTTATTTTATCAACACAGTACATATACATAATAAAGAACTGTCAAAATGATTGGTTGATTTGATTTGATAAACACGGACCGTTTGAAGACTTGGTTGGTAAAAGCAAATATGCAAGGAAATCTAACAATGATAATGTCGACACATGAGTGGACTACATGTATACTGTTCAAGATGTATCACTAAAATGTACATTAGATTTTTGTCCAGTGTTCTTTACGTACGTCGGGTTTTACTGTACATTATGCTAAAGTATCACAACTTAATGTTAAACGATGAAGATGCATAACTTTATTTTACAACAATTTGTAACCCTTCTAAAAGATTTTAATTGCATAAAGTTAAATATTTTAAATAATGGAATGTTAGCAACATTATGGATCACTGGAAATAATTTCCCCATATTTCGTTGAAATAGTTCATGAATATATTATTTTCAAACCTTGGATAAGATAAATACCTAGAAGCGATGTGTATTTGGTTCCTACATAGTTATTGCACACTAAAAATGTCTGAATCTTGTAATTTTTAACTGTGTCGATGTTTTTTATAAACTTTAAAAAATTTCTTCCAAGATACACATATTTAACTAAAACTGTTTCTTCACCACATCTACAGTTTCTTCTTTCTTTATTTAAGAGTCAGCGGGCATTCAAATAATATAATATTCACGATGAAGTATAAGGTCCGACATATATGATATAGTGACTGCCTTAGCGAGTACAATTTTAATAACTTGTCGGACCGCTAAAATTTAGCAGTGTTTACTAGAAAATTTGCTATTTAAACAATATAATTTCCTCCTTTGTTTAACTTTCACCAGATATTCCAGTAAAGTACTGTATAATATACCATAGCCATCTCCAAACATTGAATTGACCTCAGCCTTGGGCTTCGGTCCGTTAGATATTTGCGGACTGACTAATCGGTCACTCTAATTCTAATAGGCTCTCAGTGCTGTGTACTATTTCTTCAGTTGTAATGACTTGATGAATTGATTTATGCATAAAAATGTTTTTAACGCCAATCAAATATATCATGGATGAAATGATAGGAAATGAATTGAATGACTGAAGTATATTTTTATATGTAAGTCATGGTGTTTTAATGTAAATTTTCTACAAATGTTTTGAACTTTAATGATTTAAGGCACCGTAAGGTAAAGAGTCTATAAATATAAGGCATGTCATTTTTGTTCTGCATAAGTCTTTGAACATAGTTTCAAAATATCAACAAATCATTGTAGCATACAGATAACAAGCACACCAACACGCACACTGATTTGCACAAGTATACATTGAGCTGTTACATAAATCAATTCAAATAATTCGACATTCCTCCATTACAAAATAAAAACGTTGAGATAAGAATCTTTTCAGGTTATATAAATTGAACATATTTAAAACATCACATTTCATAAAAATGACATGTGTTTTATTCGTTGATACTGATTGGCACAAGTATTTGCCTCTTGCCAAATTAAAACAGTCGACAATCAACAATATGCTATTTTCGTCGTTCTTTAAATAAGATAAAAGCACTTGCTTTCAAAACAGTAAAATAAAGTCTTTAAAATTTCAAATAATTCTTACATCATAGTTACATTTAAACTTATCTCAGGGTTACAGCTCATGTTTCATAACAGATAGATAATATGAACCAGTATACAACTTATGATATTGACATTACGATACTGAACAAAACAAAGAAAAACTTAGACTGTATTTAAACAAATACATATTTACAGCTTGTTTTTTTTATCTTTCAACTCATCTAAAGTTTTCATATGTTGACTATAGAGTCAAATAACATTGTGAAGAAAAAACTACAAATACATGAACAATGTATGAAAACAATCAGGTATCAAATCAAAATATCTGACTAAAATATACTGTATTTCTGAAGTCTTATTATAATTATTTGCTAGCTTATTCAATAACTTCATGTGTGATTTCAATACATTGTAAGGCTAGCAAATGAAGACTACTATATTAACAATCTTAATTTTAGAATGATATACTGACACGTTTACTCGCCTTTTTTTTTGTATATTTTAGTGTTGCTAATAAAATATCATTACATAGGCCTGAATTAAAATGTTGATATCACGTGACTTTACTGGCTATTAAACGGTAGTGTCGACTTGTCTAATCGCCATTTCAGAAAAGTGAAATTCAAATGAAATAACCACTAAAATATATAACTATTTGTACATAGCTAAACTGATATTTAAAACATGCTTTTACTAGACAACCGAATGAATGTAACGTAGTATGGTGTAAAATTCACATAAAATCTGGTACTGCATTTCGTTACAGAAAAAATCAGAAGTGACAAATCGTTTTTGTCTTATTATCTTATGTATATGCCGCTTACATTACATCTTACATAACTTTAAAACTTTCAAAAAGAAACACTAAATTAAATTGACATTTTATGTTTAAATTTTGCCAAAATAATCAAGAAATGTACTGAAAACGAAGATAATATCGACGAAATAAATAAATATTGTAAGAAAAGTTACATCACATATATACAAAAACTTTCTTTCTGGGATAGACATTTTTCAACCTTGTCGGTTATCTAAATAACAAAACTACGCAAAAAGGGAAATGTTCATGTTTTAAAAGCTCTTAGCATAAATTATAAATTCAAATTAATCATTTCATAAAAAAACTCAAAATATATAATACAAACATATCACCAAATATAAACCTTTGAAATTAACAACATAAAAAAGTAATATGAGCCGCGTCACGACAAAACCAACATAATGGGTTTGCGACCAGCATGGATCCAGACCAACTGCGCATCCGCGCAGTCTGATCAGGATCCATGCTGTTCGCTATCAGTTTCTCTACTTGTTATAGCGTTTGTAAGCGAACAGCATGGATCCCGACCAGACTGCGCGGATGCGCAGGCAGGTCTGGATCCATGCTGGTCGCAAACCCATTATGCTGGTTTTGTCGTGACGCGGCTCATATCATTTCTCATAAATCAATTATAATTTCATTTGAATTTTCAAGACGCAAACATAACGATGTTGACTCACACGTCAACTATTTGTTGGCGTCAGTCATATATTTCTTTGTGATTTCTATCATGAGGCACCGTTGGTATAGCATTAAATGTAACACCGTTGTTCTCCACTGTCTTTGTACTGCCATCGCCGGTGTTCCTTGACGATTTACATTTGATAAAAATAAATCTCAATTCCTCCGTCATTTCAGACCAGAATGTTTGCTGAAAATATCAACAGACAATATTTTATTCAGGAATCAAATATTACATAACAAATAATCATACTTAAGCCAGCGTTTACGATACTGAGCGAATGTTCTTTATACTAATTGGTTATTGATTTTGTTAATTGATTGCAATCACTTTTATTCGTAAGAAAAATGAGTATTCAGATTCAAACACTTCGATCATAGTTCCGATTGCCTGCTTTTTTTATTTTTAAAAACATTATAATTCAAATTCTAAAAGTGCTACGGAAAGGAAGGAATTTTTATCCGGTTAATTGATTATTTGCATATACTAATCATTGTAATCAAATGAAGGATTCGAGTATAAGAGTATATTAACATAAAGAAATATACCTTGTCAACTCGTGCATTTCTGCTCACTTTCCACAGGAATTCAAGAATAGCCACAAGTAGGCCAAATATTGAGCCACCTAACAAAACTACAAACACACCTCCAACATTTGCCACACCTAAAGCATTTGTATTTTTACTCTTTTCTTCCTTTTCACAAACAATGTCACTTTTATCAACCCACCTGCAAAACCATATTTAGTTCAAAAACTGTAATACAACAATATATAAAGGTGAACATTACATGCATTATTTTGAAAAAATATAGAATCTATTACAACATGACATGAAAAAAATGCATGAATATCATACCTAAGACATCTACTAATACGAAAAAAATGAAAAATAAATTAACAAGATTATAGGACAAAATTTTTTAATTGAATTATGTTGATATTACATGTTATTCCGTGTCAATGGTAAATGTTTTAGACTGTAATATATTTTGAATAATATTACCGTTATAGATTTTTACCATAGAAACGGAAGTAGCATTTCGCGCATGCGCATTCAGCATAGTGCGAAAAAGCAATATCGAATGGAACAGGGCTCATAGTTTTCAAGTAATGTTATTTCATCGTGTAAATTTAAATTAAAAAAAAAACATATGTTTAACATTAAAAAAAATGGCATAGTACTCGCAGATATATGCAGACGTTTAACATACCATTTTGTATAAAACTTAGACAAGATTTGCTGTTGTTGAAGATTTACAACTTCTTTTGATATAATTGATATCCATGGAGAATCTGAAATAGAATTTAGGCTTATCTAAATCAGCGGGGAAAAACACTTCATTTCATATCATTAGATTAAACGTACTCATCATTTCAAGAGTTTAAAAACGTTACTTACTCTTTAACTTTCTTAAATTTTTAAAACAACGTTTAGTTGTTATGTAATACAGACAAAAATTACTTTTTTTTCAGGTAAAAAGTTAATTTGGCGGTAACTTACAACCGACGGCATTCCTTTATCATATTAATTAGGTAATAAATGTAAAATTCACATGTTATCAATAATTATTATGAGTTATATGTTAAATTACTAAGATATCAAACAAACAAATTTATGGTGGAACAGAAGCCCTGTCCGTCTAAAACATACATAAAGTGACATTATACTCATTTTCCCATTATAATGTTGAGCTGAATTGACTATATATTTTAAAAGATACTGACTGTTATAATGTTTATAGACAAAAACGCTTGATATTGAAAAATTCTTAGGATAAATATAAATCTGCCTAAAATATAAAAAGACTGTCCCTCTCTTCTTATAGATTAAACGTTATAGGTAAATTCGGATGGATGTTTTTGAAATGTACTTCGATCACGTGAGTTATTTATCGTTTATGCGCAGTAAATTATAAAATTGAAAGGAATAATGGCAAAATGTAAATTTATTTTAATTTTCACCTTTTTCACTCATTAGATGCCCTTAGATGGGCATAATGTCATTTCAAAATTTGTTGCATATTTTGTTTGGCATTGTTTCAATTACATAGCCAAAATAAATCAAGTAATTAATAAATATTTGTTTTCAAATTGAATTTACCTTTGGGTCCTGCTATCCCGTAGCCTTTAGAATCTAAAAGATCACCAACTTGCATAAGTTCACAATTTCTCTGCACTTGATAATCTATGGACGTCGATTCAGCTAAAAATGCATAATTTTCTGTCTTTACTTTTTCAAAACCTTCCTTGTTACCAGTGACCAAACTTTTCGGGTTAGCGTTCATGTAAGCGTTCATGCGTTTGAATGTAGATATGTTAGAGTTCTGAAATTACATTTATATGCATATAATTTACTTTTAAATAAAATACGCTAGAAAGGCGAATAATTATTTGAATAATGAACGGGTTTGACTATTACGGCTTATTATCAAACTAGTTTGAAACTAATTGAACAAAGACAAAAAGCATTTTTTTTTCTTCTTTTTTGTTAAGATATATCTATCGAATCATTTATATCCAAGGTTAAACTACTGAGACAGTCGATATATCAATATACAATAAAAATACGAATCAAATATTTTATGATGGAAATATTCAGTGAAAGGACAATTCTTCAGTACTTAAAGATATACTATCCTCATCTTTCAGCAAAATAATATTTTATCGCAGAATTTTCTTGAAATTCATGAAATCCTTATTGAATATGTCTAATTTTAAAACAAGAATGTACAAATATGTATCTATAGGAAGCTGCATTCCCGATCATAGGTCAAGTAAAATTGGACATTTCTAAAAAAATAACTACCAGTGTTTTTTCTAATGACACTATATATTCATATTGTGGCCTCCTATAGTTTTAAGAATTTTAGTTAGAAATAACATATATACTTTGTATGAAGCTGAAACATGTTGATATTTTATGTTTACAAATAGAAAGTGTAGCAATTTTTTTTTTTCAAAGATCAAATTTGAGCATAATATATGTTTAAGTTAATATTCTTAGGAAATACCAGACCAAGTGCGGTGCTTTCTAGTTTTCCGGGTATTTGTCTGGAACCCGAGATATTTAAAAACGAAATAAATGTATAATCTATGTCATGTTTTATAGATGAATGTTTACATGTTATACATTTCTCACTGGTACTGAAATTGCAAAGTTACATTCGTGTCAAAAGGAATGTCAGACTTGCACCAATATTTCTTATGTAAATTTATTTTACCAATTAGTGTATAACCGAGAGTTGTGCTTACCACATAATTGTTATTATATTTTTTGTACAAAACTGTTTTATGTATAAAATTAGTTTATTTGAACGAACATTTTAAGTATTGGCTTCAAACAGTCTGAACAATGGTATTTCATCATTCATTTTTCAATGAAACAAAATTATTATTCACATGTATAATCAGGGACAGTATTTAGATCTATCTAAGTCCCTTCTTTAATGAAATTTGCCTTCATAATACAGAAATGACATGATTTTGTCGCAATTATACTTTTTAAATACATCAGAGGGCCATACCCTACCTACCTTAAAGAACTCTCTGGTGGACCCACTGGATAAAGTACCATAACCTATGTCTGTTTGTAAGGACAAATCGTCGGCATTTGTGATAGGTGCTGCCATTCGACTTTTTGTGAGAAAAGCGGCGAGATTAGCAGTGTATGAAGACACGAGTATTAGTGTGAACAGGTACCATATACTCGCCACAAACCTGGTCGACGACGCCTTCGGTGCTACGTCACTTCCTGTGTAGGTATTTTGTGCAATGTCATGTCAAAAAGGACCAGGATATAAACTTTTTTTCATATGATTTTAATAAAAATTCTCGAACCATTACCATTGTCAGATATAATTGGAAATGATTTGGTGTTTCCATTGTATTTCCTTACATTATTTATATAATCTTTCAAATTTTGTTTATATGTAGCTGGTCCTTTTTGCTATGACAACAACAGAAAAAGGCGCCAACAAGTGGCGAACATGTGTGTCAATGAAAACATTAGCTTGAAATCTTTATTTTAATTTTGGTTTAATGAGTATTTTAAATTTTAAGTATATTACTTTTTGAAAATTACAACTTAATGTGGTTTGTATTGAAGAGAATGACATTAATTTTTTACAGTTATTTTATCATAAACTTTAACTTTAATTTAAGAAAATTGCGTAAAATGAAAGCGTTCTAGACATACTTGCTCAGTCAAAAGATTAAAAAAAATATATTTCCGACCACACAATAAAATCTCATTACAAGGGAGAAAATAATAAGAGCAGCAACAATTCTGCAGTCGAATTTTCCTCCCTTGAAATATTAGGTTGAAACCGGAAGATATTATTATGCAGACGTTCTTTTTTTAATAAAACATGATTTTTAGATTAAAAATATGGTGGACTGCTCCACACAATCAACTCATCATTAACTTAAGTTTAAAGTAAGCATGAACAAATTTATCGTGATAATCAGATAAGGAAACCATCGGAGCCCGGTCCGTAACCAAAAATTGATTCTAATACCAAGACAAAAAGTTGGTATATAATAACAGAGTTAAAAAGTGTAATCTACAGAGTGAAGTTTACTAAATCTACACTCTACTGTTTTATATGGGAAGAAATTGTGAAGAAAGGAATGTATAATAGTAAAAGATATATTTGTTTAGAAGTTATATAATTTAAAATATGTAATTTACGGAAAAATAAAAACATGGTTACGTATTTTATACGGTATCAGTAACTAAATTGTATTTCTTATAAAGCTAAATAACTTTATGATCATTTTCCGCCGTTCTAAGAACATATATTAAGATTAGACCAGTGCATTTAAGTGCATATACATGCAATGCTAACACGAGATTCCCGTGCAGTTGCGCAACATGCTTCTAGAATATAGAATATATATATCTTGATTATTTTATATCATTCCACTAGCATAATCATAAATTGCTTGGAGCAAGAAGATGCCGCTTTAAACGGACATAAAAGCATTCACACAAACCAAAAAAGTAAAGTTGTTACGTGCCTAATGCATCATAGAGTAGGGTCCATACTCTCAACGCCGGAAAGGGCGGATGGACCCTCATTAAGCATATAATACACTGCATTATAGAGTTTAATGCCACTTATTGCAATGTTTTTTCTAAGTTGGACATTTATATACCCTGTATAGAGTTAGGAACACTGGTTTACGGGAGTCTTATTCTTCACCTTCCATCAATTACATAGCGCTTCATCTCTTCAAAGTTGGAAAGACTCTATTTCCTTAACATGGAACTCGTGTAATTTTTATAACCAATTACCTAAATTTGATATTCAGTATACCATCACAAAATATGTCTTTTAAATTTATAATAGTATGGTCTCCTTGAGCTACTACTATTTTGCATTTTATTCTGAAAATCAAATTTTTTCAGCTGAACATACATACATGTTTACTTTCCATTAAAGGTGATCTGGTCATTTTTGGAGCCGCACTTAAAAAGAAAGAAATACCTACCTTGACATCAAGACCAGATGCCTGATACTAGACACGGGATTAAAAGTTAATAATTCTAGGTCAGGTCAAACGAGGAAAATTATCTGATATACTTACTGACAACTGCTCTACTTA